AAAAAATAAGAGTAGCAACTAGCAAATAACCAATCAATAAGAGTAAAAAATTATAGGTTTAAATATGTTTTTAATCCCTGCAAATATAGTACATTTTTTTTACATCCCTGCAAAATTATTTTTTTTTGTTTTTCGTCCCTGCAATTTAGGTTGGTTTTCTTTTCAGTCCATCACTGATGATAACAATCTCCGTTTGACCTCAAAATAACCCTGATTAATAGATCCCATCTAATTCTTTGTCATGTTATTAAAAATTATTTAATTTTATTTTTAGAAGGTTTTTAATATTTTTTTTAAAATGTAAATACTTAGTTTTACACTGTAACTCTCATATTAGCCTCAAAAAAATTATAAAAGGAAGAATTTAAATTTTTCTAGTAGATTTATGTAACTGACAATATTTTTTTTTGTAATTCGAATAGTTTCCGGATCAGAGATGGACTAAAAACAAAATAGTGCATATTGCAGGGATGAAAAACAAGAAAAATATTTTGCAAAGACTTAAAACAAATTGTGTCATATTTGCATGGACTAAAAACGCAGCCAAAATTACACGGAGTATATACATTCCAAATTTCTTAAAATTCGTTGTTTTTGTGGGAGAGGCCAATATAATTGAAGGTAAAGGGGAAAGCGAAAGTTCATGATATTAGAGATCACAAGATCCAAGTGAGGGTCACGGGTAAGGTAGCATGCATGATCCTACCCATACTTTCATTTTCGTAGCTAAGCTAGCTTTATCATCTTGTCTGTGCAAAACATATTGGTTGTTTTTTGCTGCTCGTTTGATGACAAAAATGATGTCCTGTCATGGACCTCATGCTAACATGTATTTCATCAGGTTACCATTATTCAGTTTTGGCAGCAACACTAGTGTAATTTTAATATTCGGCCGGCCTATATCTACTTGAATAGTTATATGTCACGACTTGGTTCAAATGGTCAATCTGACAGGAGATTTAACTCAAATGCTTAGATGTGGACTAAGTTGCGCCTTTTTACCGGCCGTCCGGCCGATATGAGACAGCTTAATATGCATGGTTTGAATAGTTTTATATCATGACTTGGATTCCAATGGTGAATCTATGGGAGGATATTAACTCAAAGGCTTACATGTAGGCTAGGTTGTGGCCAATATGAGATGACATAACATGCACAGTTTAACACTCGGTAGTTCGATGGAACATACCACTTTAAAATTTCTACATTTTTACTTTTACAATGTTTTTATGGGATTGACTCAAGTCCCATATCAGTATATCACAGAAATTTAAAATCAAACAAAATCTTAACAGGTCATATAGAAAATTTCAATCCAATTATAAACATCTTTAATAGAATTCAATATTGGGCCTCGGAGCTTAGTTATCGATTATGTGTTACTTTGTATATTTCTAAGGTCAAATAGTGAACCTTATAGAAAGAGTAATCTCCATAGTTATAATTTTCACTTTTGTGCGTGTTCAGCTATTTCTTTTCAGTTTTACGCTCTTTTTTTACTTTGATTTAGGTGTTTGAAAACAATAAAATAAACATATCTGTCGAATCTTTTTTAATGAATTTTATAAATTAGGTTGTTAATCAAACTAGCTAGGCTTTTAGTGTGGCTAGTTTCTTATTAATGCACAACTAAATCAGGCAATCCTAAATTATACGGGACGTTTTGGGTAAACGACCTTTGTTTCAAGACGGTTTGGCATTTTCTATTTTTTTTAAACATATACATACAGAGTACCAAACTATAAAAGTATCCAATTTCATATGCGGAGCATACTGTGGTGATCATTCATGTGAATATGTGATTACACCATTTTAGTTCAAGGCATTATCTATAAACTACAATATACCTAGTATAATCTAAACTCGAAAGTGAACTATACATGAAGGTTAAAGCCTTAAAGGTCGCGTAGGAGATACTTGAATAATAATTTCTCATATAAAATGCGGTACACACAATTTATACACATATTGTGTACACCCTCCTAGTTGTCTCTCTACAAACGCAATTCTTCAAAAACTGCCTTGTAAACAGATAACTAGAATGAGTGTACACAAAAGGTATACAAAATATGTGTACACCAAACATTCCCCGACCCATTTCTGAATGTGGATTTTTTAAAACTAAACACTACTCCTAATTTATAACAAATTGTGTTGTGGATCTATGTTTAAAAAACCAGACCTAGAGGTGATCCAAACAAATGACCGGATCAAGGGTCAACCTGGACCTGGAGGGTCAACCCGGTCAAGCCCAATAAACCCGGTCAACACAATGTATATATACATTGTGTCAAGGAAAGTATTTGAATTTGTGTTTCAATATTAATTTTGTGCATCTAGTTTTTCAAATATGGAATTTTATTTCAACTATTTATGTTAATTTAAATTTCATTGGACAATAGTTAAATTTGACCTCAATTATGCACAATAAATCTATAGGAAGACTTTATTTTAGAACATAGGGTGGAAGAAATGTCACAAAGTAACTCACTATCATGCAATGATAGTGAGCAAATATCAATTTAATACCAAAGGTTGAGATACAACTATTCTATTTGGACAGTATTTGAGATGTAAACGTATTACTTTGTGTTTAATTTTTAATAGTTTCCATTAAAATTGTCCCATCTTTCCTTTTCAGTATATTCCACAAAATTTTCACATACGTAGTACACAATTTGATAAAGTTTGTGTGGTTCTAAATAACTCTGACTTTATTGTTACTTTATCAATTCAATATTAACCACATAAGTTCATTTTTCTTAATAAACATGTCACCTCCTCATGTCTCAATGTTAGTGGGACGGAATTAGTAATGCATATTTATTCTTATACGCAACAATGTTCATTTATACTAACTATTACAATATCTAAGATTAGATACTCCCTCCGTCCCCCTCCCCTAACTTTGTCCCGTTTTACATTTTTCGTTCATCCCATTAAGTTTGTCTCATACCATATTTGTTAATATTTGGATGGTTACAATTCATTCTTACTTTATTCACACTTTATCAAATCAATACCAACCACACAATTCCACTTTTTCTTAAAAGTTGTGCCACACTCCTTTGTCCCAAACATAGTGGGACGGAGGTAGTATTTATTTAAAAATTAAAATTATTTACATAGATCAAAATTATTTATTACCCAAGTACTGCTAGTTTTTTTCGGGACCGAAAGTGGGGACGTTGCCGTGCCTCCCAAGTCATCCACTTAGCATTTCACAGTAACAAACTAGTTTTCTACTACATATCATTCTCTATATACTCCGTACTTCTCAAATTGTAACTTGTAAGGTGTTGTTTACATTCCACTTGAATTAATGGCAACAACGACTTAATCATCATTAAATTATATTTACTTACGTCTTAATTGGAAACATCACTAAATCATTCAATAAAAAATGACTTAATATGTTAAGCTGGAGAATATCAGTCTCTCCCATTAAGACGTCTATTAAGGTGCTTTCTTTTTTCTGACAATTTTTTCAATTGATTGTGAAACATATTTATATTAATAAATGACTTTTTTAATACACGTATAATATAATAATAATACGTTATTCGTCCTCACTAACATTGAGACAAGAGAATGTGACACAGTTATTAAGAAAAATGAATTTATGTGGTTGATGTTGAATTGATAAAATAAGAATAAAGTAAGAATGATTTAGATCCACAAAAACTTTATCAGATTTGATATGAAACCATCTTAGTGAGATTTCCGAAAAAATAAAAGTAAAACAATCTTAACGAGACAGATGAAGTACTAAATTAATTATTTAACTAAATTAATCATGTAATTGTTTATTCAATAAATAGCTTCATATACAAATATCAAGATATACTCCTTCCGTCCCATTAGAAGGTTCTCACCTTCTTTTTTTGGACGTTCCATATAAAGGTTCTTATTTTCATTTTAGGAAACAATTAACAATCTTAAATGACAAATTAATCATTAAATATTAAAAATAATATATTAATAACATCACAATTATCAATACTAACTACATTATAATATATACCTATTAAAAATATTTGTCAAAATATACTCGATATACTTTATTTAATTATTGTCTAAATAATCGTACCGTTTTGCAATGAGCCTGATGGAGTATATGGCCCAGGGAACCCGACCCACAGACTCCTACTTCTCTTAAACAAATCCAATGAGCCCAATAAGCACTTGAAGCCCAAATACAGCGGCCCAAGCCTAAAGGAACATACTGTGTGCATATGGATGCCTTCGGCTCTAGGACCGAGGGCTCCAAACTACTGAAAATAGCTGGTTTCAGACATACGGAGCTACTGGGTGAAACTGGCAGAAAAACAGTAGCCTTCTGCCCCATGGAGCCTTCGGCACATACCCCAGCCCTTTGGACCTTCGGTCATAAGTTTTAGGTCGAAGGGTCACCACTTGAAGAAGCTTCTCCCTCTGGAGACAAACAACCACCGCATTCAATGCGGCGTCACGTCCAACCATCGCATTAAATGCAGTGCACATTCAATTGTCAGTGCCACCCCGATCGAAATGACCCTCAGCCATCGGATGGCTGACACGTGTACGTGTACAACATTTATGGCTGCTATAAATAGCAGTCCCTTTCCCTTTGTATTGTAAAGGATCACATCCCGAGTTCATTTAATATACTGACTCTCTCTCTCACTTTGCTTACTCTGACTGCTCTCTAAGTTATTTCTTATACTCCGTAATATCCTTTGGATAAGCTACCCGGGTACACGGTCTATCGGAGTCAACCAGAACCTTCCAACGGAGGTAATACATTTTAACACTATGATGAGATCTCTAATCGACGTCATGCTCATTCCACTCTCCGACGTCCTTATATTTTACCACGTATTAGTAAAACCTTCTGAAAAAGTCCTTCGGTAAGAATACCGGTTAAAAATATAAACGGGGAGTAAAAAGCAATTAGTTTACCCGTACATCCAACGGCAGACATCTTCACTTTCCCCCACCTTTCTCTCCCATTTTTATGTCTTTTTCCATGCCCACCATGATTACCCCTTTCTGCTTCTCGTGACTAAAGCTAACCATCTTCACTCTTTCCCAAACCCCAGTCAGCAGAGTACAACATTCCTTTCTCTGATCATCATATCATGAATGAATGTATACCAATCCAATCATCAGTAGCACAGTTTTCAATCACCACAGCTACCAATATATAATGAAATTTGATTCCATGCTGATCCGTATCTTCTGCACATTATTCAGTATCTCCTGCGCGGTCGCCGCCGTCTCCGGCGACGATGGATCCTTGCAGCTCAACGACGACGTTCTAGGCCTCATCGTCTTCAAATCCGGCCTCCATGACCGGTCATTGCACCTTGCTGGGTGGACCGAAGACGACAACACTCCCTGTGGTTGGAAGTTCGTCCAATGCAATTCTGCGAACGGCCGAGTATACCGGCTCTCGCTCGACGGGTTGGGCCTGTCGGGGAAGATCGGCCGGGGGCTGGAGAAATTACAGTACCTCGAAGTTTTATCATTGTCCGGCAACAACTTGAGCGGCGGCATTCCTCCGCAGCTGGGCCTTTTGCCCCATCTGAAAACGCTTAACCTAAGCAGAAACAGTCTCTCTGAGAGTATACCTCTGGCTTTGAGTACAAAAACTACCTCTATCCGATTCCTGGATCTTTCTCGGAATAGACTGTCCGGACCTGTGTATGATAACATGTTAGAAAATTGGAGTTTACTCCGGTATTTGTCTCTGGCTGAGAATCATCTCGAAGGCCCAGTGCCAAGCACACTGTCTAAATGCACACTTCTGAACCATCTCAACCTGTCAAATAACCATTTTTCAGGACAACTCAATATGAGGTTTTCTGGTCTGGGTTGGAGAGGGCTGGAAAGGCTAAGGAGTTTGGACCTTTCGAACAATGAGTTTTTTGGGCAACTCCCGCCATTGCCACACAATCTGAAGGAGCTGTTTCTACAGGGAAATAAACTGTCCGGTGAAATTCCAATTGATTTGTTATTAGGATTTTATTGCCCACATCTCATCAGGCTTGATTTGAGTGGGAACCTCTTCACAGGTACACTCCCATCTCTTCAAAGGCTTAATAACTCACTCTCGTTTCTAAGCCTGTCGAATAACCTCCTTGATGGGGATTTTCCTGAATGGATTGGGAAAATGTCTAGCTTGGAATATCTTGATCTTTCGAGGAATGGATTTAGAGGATCAATCCCAGATTCAATCGGAGGGTTGAATATGTTGAAACATTTAAGCCTTAATGATAACAAGTTAACTGGTGAGATTCCAAAGTCACTAGTTTCTTGCAATGCTTTGACTGTGCTTCGGCTAAGAGGGAATAAGCTGACAGGTCCTATACCAGAGGGGCTCTTTGGGGTAGGACTGGTATTGTTAGATTTATCAGGAAACAGTCTCAACGGTTCGATCCCACCTGGTTCCGGGAAGCTTATTGAGTCTCTCCAAGTGATGGACCTATCAGTGAACAATCTCACTGGAAATATTCCCCCAGAAATGGGACTCTTATCCAGCCTCAGATATTTGAATCTTTCCTGGAATGATTTTCACTCGAGATTGATACCTGAAGTAGGGTACTCCCAGAACCTGATCGTGCTTGATCTTCGAAACAGTGCGTTAACAGGATCCATCCCGAGTGATGTTTGTGAGTCGGGGAGCCTCAAGATTCTTCAGCTTGATGGGAATTCATTGACTGGCAGTATTCCTGACGAGATTGGAAATTGCTCCTCTCTTTACTTGCTGTGAGTTTTTCCTGTCCTAACACATTATACCATCTTATCGTGCATGACAAATTACTACACTGCTCAATATGAAGACACAAACACAGATGTACCGAGTACTATTTTACTGGGCATGCTAAGTCATTCCACACTGCATATCTTTGATAAAATATACTCACACATAGGATCTTGAACTAATTCTCCTATCAATTCTAGCTTTTAGAATGGATTCCAAAATCTAAGTATCTACTATATTGTATGGGTTAAAGTTTGTAATCTTAATCCCCATTTCCAATGAACTCATTCATCTTAAAGAAAGAAAGAATATATAATCTTGAAAAAGAAAAGTTTATATAGACAATAAACTGTCTTAGAAAGACATTCACTTATGACTACCCATTTGCAGGAGCTTGTCACACAACAATATAAGTGGAACCATACCGAGGTCCCTTTCAATGCTGTCCAAACTCATGATTCTGAAGCTCGAAGTTAACCAACTCAGCGGAGAAATACCAATGCAGCTGGGGAAACTGAAAAACCTTCTAGCTGTCAATGTATCCCACAACAGGCTCATTGGACAGCTTCCGTCTGGGAGTATATTCCAGAATTTAGACTCAAGTGCAATAGAGGATAATCTTGGGATTTGTTCACGCTTATTGAAAGGACCGTGTAAGACACACGCAGAAAAGCCATTGGTGATCAATCCGTTTGAATATGCAAATCAGACGGATCATGATGATGTTTATTATGATGGTCAGGGGCATGGAGACAAGCCTTTGGGGTCACCAGGGCCACATAAATTCCTTAGTGTTTCAGCCATTTTAGCCATCTCAGCGGCAGCGATCATCGCGGTAGGTGTGATGGTTGTGACCGTAGCAAACGCCACAGTTAAGAGAAGGATTTCTTTAGCTGAGAACGGAATGGAAAGCATGTGCTCGGATTCTTCAAGGTCCCACCACAGCATGGCCACCGGACAGCTGATACTATTCGGCTCGAAATCGTCCCCTCATCAAATAGACCACATCAGCTTTGAATCGGTTCTTAGAAGTTCAATTGAAGTCGGGGAAGGAGTCTTCGGGACAGTTTACAAGGCCCCGCTAGAAGGTGAAGGGAACAGAGTTATAGCAATAAAAAAGCTCACAGCGTCAAAATTCGTATTGCAGCATCCAGAGGAGTTCGATCGGGAGGTTCGGGCCTTGGGCAATGCCAGGCACCCGAATTTGATTCCCTTGAGAGGGTACTACTGGACACCCCATCTGCAGCTTCTGGTCTCGGATTTTGTGACGGGCGGGAACTTAGAATCCAAGCTCCGCCCCGAAATGGCAGGCAGCCAGATGACATGGCCGGTCCGGTTCAAGATCATGGTAGGAACAGCCAAGGGACTGGCCCACTTGCACCATTCATGTCAACCCCCGATCGTGCACTACAACGTGAAGCCTAGCAATATCCTATTGGATGAGAACCTCAACCCGAGAATCTCAGATTTCGGCCTGGCGAGGCTCGTAACAAAGCTGGACGTGCATGTGATGAGCAATAGGTTGCAAGACGCGATAGGCTATGTGGCTCCGGAACTCACACGCCAGAACCTGAAGGTGAGCGAGAAGTGCGATGTGTACGGGTTTGGGATGCTGGTGCTCGAGTTAGTTACTGGTCGACGGCCAGTGGAGTACTACGGGGAGGACACAGTTGTGGTTCTGAATGATCACGTGAGGGTGTTGCTTGAGCAAGGGAATGTGTTGGATTGCGTGGACCCAAGCATGGGTGGATCATACCCAGTTGAAGAAGTCTTGCCCGTTTTGAAGCTCGCATTAGTATGCACCTCTCACATACCATCCAGCAGGCCTTCAATGGCCGATGTGGTGCAGATCTTGCAGGTCATCATAACCCCTATTCCAGCACAGAGTTGAAGCATCAAAGTCTGGCGGGCGCGGCGCACATCCAAATAACTGAACATAATTTTCCTTTTTTTCTGGGCATTTATTATTTATTTGTACAATTTCATATTTGCATCATCATAATTAGTCCATTGCTCTGTCAATATGTATCCACTCCATTGCTTGAAATTGGCATTCACGCATACGAGCAGATAAACTCATACACATTCCCATTCCCCTTGACAGTTTCTATTACTTTATCGGCTGATCAATTGACATAAAGTAAATAGAGACAAAGTGTCAGAGAAAAATTTCCATATTGTAAAATTTTGCCATATCATCAATTTTAAGAGTGGTCTATTTTTTATGCATTCTTTTATGGCCTTTTTAATCTTGTTTAAAATATTTAGTATTTGTCTACACCGTAAAGCCATAAAACAACAATAAAACATTATATAAAAATTTGAGTTACTTCTCCGGTCAGGTGATGATAAAACTCTGTATCTTAACATAATATTAAAGCCAAATCCGATTATGGTTTGATTGCTTGTTTAGACGGACAGATGATAATATACCTTAAAGATTATTTATTATTGCTGCACCAACTACATAGTGAAAGTACAGTAAGATAATTAAATTTGAAGACAGATGAAGTTAACCAAAACAGAAGAATCATGATCATCCTCCCCTTTTCTAATGGTCATCTTCTTGCTTGTAGAAGGACTCATAAGTTTGCACCCTTGTCCTCGATTCCAGTTCATTTTCTTCCACAAATCCTGTCGTCATTCTGATGAAGTCTTCCATGTGCAGATCCTTCCATTCCTCAAAGTCCCACTCCCCGTACAAGTCTGGATCAGCCGCATCAGCCCAAACATACGTATACGCCTGAAACACTTCTGAACTAGCATCCACAAGAGAAACATCAACATTCCTCCTCTCATATTCAACATCCTCGAATTTATCGAGGATCTCCAGCTCGGGAAGAGTGATACCCCACAGAAGCCTTCCATCGACTTTACTTCTTTGTGCTGGTAGAATTGCAGGATAAACACGTCCCTTGATGCTGAATCTCTGATAATGGTGGAGGGCAGCCGGGGAAGAAGGAGGAACGCGGTTGAGGAGGACCCGGACGACGTCGTCTGCTTGAAGGCTGCCGTACACGAAAACGTTACATGTCGCCGGTGCATTCGCCATCGCTAGCACCGCACAAGTCTACTTTCTATCTAACCTCACAATTTACACACAATTGCATACAGAGTAGAGTATATATGCTGGGTACAGCCGTACAGGGGAGGGCATATTATACGAAATACGAAGTAGATTGTAGATAAACGGCTGAACTTTTTGGGAGAAGGGGTTTAAATTGATATTAAAGCATTAGGCGTTTAGGAGTAAAAAAAAAATAAGGAATCACATACAACTGTCAGCTCGCGAATCAGACTCGGAGTTAATCATGTTCAAACAAGCAATATAACTCGTTGATCCATTAATGGGCAAACTTGAGTCATAGACGATTGAAGCAGACCAAAACACACTCAATCCTGCAAGAGTCTTACAATAATAAAAGTAAGCAACAGAAAAATAAACAGTCTGATCGTAAAAAAAAAAATAACGCAAGCAAACGGAAAAAATAAAAAGATGTTTCCAAATCTAGACTCTCCTGCGCTCCATGGCGGCGGTTCAGGAGGGGGACGATCCAGCAGTACCGAAGCTTCTTCCTCACGTTGCCTCTTATTCATCATGATCTCTACCAAGCCTCCTTTGTCGCCACCTAACACAAATGACATGGAATCCAGATCTGTTCCAACCAAACTCATCTCTGCTGTCTGCAACCGAAATAAACGAACAGACAGCAATCGAAACAGGACCGCAACGCCGCCCTCCTCCAACGATCTCTTTTTATAATATTTACTCATATCAATATAACACAAAACTCATGTTAGTAATTAGTACATACGGAATAATATTTAATAAACTAATAGATATTCATGTTAAATTAAGAATAGAAAAATAAAACATTAACACTGTTGAGATTTATTCCTTCAACTCTTAGGTCCAACACATAAGTCCAAGGATTTCGAGTGGAGAGTTTAAGTGTGAATGATTAATTGACCCAACAAGCAAATAAGATGGATTAAGGGAAGGTTGAATAAGCAAATAACGCCCCGATACAATACACTTGCTAAGGCTGAAGGCGTTCGTCCTATGCTACGATAGAAGAGCTGCGAATAATATGCTAGAGTGCTAGGCTAATAAGTTGTCAACCCTTTACAATGAAATAAATGATATTATTTATACCACCAATGGGCAGTTCGCAATGCTGATGTGGAAGACTGTGAGTGGCTGATGTCTCGACCACCAAATCTCCAGCATTAAATGCGCTTCCCGCCAGAATCTGGGGTTTCCCGCCTGATCTGTGGAGATGAACGTCCCCTCTGGCCTGGGGCCTGCTCCTGATGGCTCTTGCAAGGGTTGTGGGCCGTTCGTATCCTGGCCCTTGGGAGAATTTGTCATATAGATTGGATTGGACATCATGTGGCTGTGGGCCTTAGGTGGCGACGTTCGTCGCCATGGCCTTTGTCTGCGGGCGTGATCCACCATTGTCCTGGCTGGACGCTCGTCGCGGTGGGCTGCCTTATGGGGCTGGACGTTCGTCTGAATGAGGGGGTAAATGGGCCGATCCCCTATCTGGGCCATTAACTCAACAAACACATTAAATATTCATCATAAGTTGGAATCAATGGAAAACGTGATTAAGAAAAAAAAAAAGAGAAAAAGAAAAAGAAGTATGTAGAGAGAAAAATAGAAAGCAAAAGAAGGTTACCAAAAAAGAACTACGGATGAAGCAATAGTCTCCACATACGCCTACTGTAGTCGACCTACGCAGGGAAGAATGCGGACGGAAGAAGCAAGATCTGATTATAACCCTTCAAATTAGAAATAATTACAAAAATATCGGGTGTATATGTAAATCCGGGTGTACAGTATAGGCACTGGTATATGTACATCCGGGCATGGACAATAATTAAAATAGTAAAGATTCCTACTAGCTTATATGCTGACAAATACACGATAAACAAAGAATTACTCCCTCCGTCCCCAAATGAAGTTCACCATTTGACTTCACAGGTTTTTAGGTAGGATTTAATTAATGGTTGACTTTCCAAAAAAGCCCTTGAAGGGATGGGGGCAGCCGAAATGCTCAAAACAAATAAAAGAGGGGTAATGAATCGTAAGTCATGGTAAATCTATCTATTCACTTTAAAATAACATCATTACCAATCAAATCAAGTTCTCATTACAACATTAAACTCCTACTACCCTCTCGGTTTACACCACACAAGCCAAACCCAAAATATTTAAATTTCCCTCCAGACTTACATTCCCTCCAATTTTAAAAGAAAACAACTCTAGCTATAAATAGGAAGGTACTGGAGACACAACTCTAGCCATTACTCCTATCTACTTCTCCCCATTTCTGGCCAGCTACCACAACATGGAAGGTGCTGCAGACATAACTCCAAGCTCTAGCCGTATGGACCTCAATCTGCCACCCCAACTGATCCCCCTGCAGCAGCAGTTCCTCAATCACTGCAACCTGCAACAGTTCCTGAATCAGTGCAAGGTGGTGCAGCGGAAAGTGAGAATGAGGAAGATGATGCTGCAATGAACAAAAAGTTCCCAAAATTAACTGATGTCCAAAGAAGCAGAATAAGTCAAATAATGTTAACAAATTATGTGGATGGGAAACTTCAGAGGGGCTCATTGATTAACACAGCTAGGGAATTTAATGTTTCCACCAACACTGTGCGCAAACTGTGGGACAAGGCAAAACAACAATTGGCAGCTGGGGTTCCAATTAATGTTAACAGCAAACTAAAGGGACATGTGGGCAGGAAAAAAATCCCATGTGACTTGGAATTTTTTTTAGAGATTCCATTGCACAAGAGAAAAAACATGAGAGCTCTGGGCTTTGCCATGGAAGTGTCCAAGTCAACAGTTCACATATGGTTAAAGGGGAAACAGATTAAAAGGCACTCAAATGCAATAAAACCTCTTTTGAAAGAAGAAGGAAGGGTTAAAAGGTTAGAATTTTGCTTGAGTTTCATAATCCCAGCCTCATTACCCTTGACCCCCACATTTCATGATTGTTATGACCATATACACATTGATGAAAAGTGGTTCTATTTGTCAAAAGAAACTTCTACACTCTACCCACAGAACAGGATCCCTACAGGACTGCCCAATCAAAAAAATTTATAGCAAAGGTAATGTTCTTAGCTGCAGTGGGCAGACTTAGACTGGGGGAAAATGAGCAGGTCTTATGGGATGGAAAGATTGGGATCTTTCCATTCACTTATGAAGATACAACCAAAAGAGCAAGTAAAAACAGGCCTGCTGGGACATTAGAGACAAAGGCAACAGTGAGTGTGACAAGGCCAGTCATAAGGGACATGATACTCAACCAAGTGTTACCAGCAATAAAAGAAAAATGGCCTGATGCAAGTAATAGGAATATAATAATTCAGCAAGACAATGCAAGGCCTCACATTGACTTAAATTATCCTGATTTTGTCACCAATGCAACACAAGATGGTTGGAATATTACACTGAGGTATCAACCACCTAATAGTCCTGACCTAAATGTCTTAGATTTGGGATTTTTTAGGGCAATAGACTCCATCAAAGAACAGAAGGCCCCAAGAAACATAATGGAGTTAATAAATGCAGTGACCACATCATTTGAGCAGCTCACACCTACAACACTCAACAAGGTGTTTCTAAGCTACCAATATGTCATGGAGGAAGTCCTTAGAGATAATGGTGGAAACAATTTCAAATTGAGGCATGTAGGGAAGGACAGATTGCAATGATTGGGATTATTACCTAAGAATGTGCAAATTACTCATGAACTGTATCAGACAGCTAGAGCAAGTATGGATGCACATCTGGCAACTACCACACCAAACAATGCAACCAACAAAATGAGTTCATATGTGAAGATGATTGACATCTTCACATATGAACTTTTCAGATTGCAGTTAACACAAAGGCATATTTTGAATCATGTTGCACTGATATTAATTCATGGCACACCTTAATTTTGTGGTCATAAATGTATTTTTGTTAGTACACTATGATAGGTGTGTGTATAGTGCATTTTTTGTATGCAAATGTACAAGGTAGAAAGGACATTAGTTAGGTCCTGCCCATCCTACAGTAATTTGCCCCTTGCTTATATGTAATGAAGTGGAACTTTATTCAGGGACTGCCCAAAAGTTGCATGCCATTGTCACACAGTTTCAAATCATTCACATGTCATACACATTTCATACCAATGAAGCCCCATTTCATCATTAGTTACAGGCATGGACATGTAATTCACAATGGAAGACAAGCATAGTATGTGTTCAACATATTCAGAAGTTCCAATTAGTGAAACAAAGCAATAGTATATGTTTAAAAGAATACAATCATAGTATGTGTTCAACACAAGACAAGCATAATATCTGTTCCATTTAATCAAAAGGAGGGACAATCAGGAGTTCCAATTAATCCATAGTATGTGTTCTACATAAGATAAGCATAGTATCAGTTCCATTTAATCAAAAGGAAGGACAATCAGGAGTTCCAATTAATCCATAGTATGTGTTCTACTCCGTACATTAGACAAGCATAGTATCTGTTCCATTTAATCAAAGGTAATCAAAGCAATAGTTCCATTTAATCAAAGGCAACATAGTATCTGTTCAACACAATAAGGAGTTCCAATTAAAGAAACAAAGCGTACTATCTGTTCAACACATTCACAAAATAGGTTCAGAAGCACAAATACAAATTCCATTACAGAAATTAGGGTTAACAGAAGTTACTGCCCTTTCGCGCATGCATCCAAATCACCCGCATCTTCCCCAACTGCTTCACCGCCTGGAAAGGGGCTCCCCATGCTGCCTTCCTCGTCTTCCGACCCCACACCACCTTCCCCGTCTGGTTTACCATGGCCCTTCCAAGCGGAGGTCACCTCTTCTCCGTCTGAATTGACAAGGCCTAATGATAAGGTGTGGTTTTGGTTTGGGATCTAATGGGGGAGGCACTTTTGGATCCATGCAAAGGTAGCAACGGTGGCCGGAGGGGTTTCACAGATGGGGAGGGATGAGGGGTCTTCAGACTTGGGGTAACGATGGAGAATGGAGAAGTGGTGGAGATGGACTATCACCGGAGGTGTTTCAGCGATGATATAACAACGGCGATTAGCGGAACGACAAATCAGAGAACATAGGGGAGAGGAGAGTCATACAGAGAGAGGAGAGAGGATAAGGTAATACAGAGTAATGGTGGGTAGATGGGGTAGGTAATGGAGGGAGAGGTAATTAATTGGTGGGGTTGGGAATAATTTTAAAGGGTTAATTTTAAAGGGTAAATGGGTATTTTTAACCCTAAAAGTTTCCTAAAATAGAAAGATGAACTTTTGGGGACTACCCGAAAAGGAAATGGTGAACTTCATTTGGGGACGGAGGGAGTATTAGTTAGCTACTAATAATGCAGCCATGTTTTTCAAAGGAAAATATATGAGGTAAGGTTCAGATTGGTACTTGAAGTTGCATAAAAAGGGTCGAATAAGTTCTTATATAGGAGGCTCTGTCCGGCCGTCGCCGTTTGGGGCGGTTCCCGGTGGAATTTTTTGACGAAATGTTTTGAGAATCTTATTCATTAAGTCTAGTTTACTCATACCAAATTTCAGCAAAAAATTCTACCGGGAAGGCATTCAAATGAATTCTTGAAGATAACGACACACTTAAAAATGAAGTTATCTTCAAGAATTCATTTGAATGTCTTGCCGATTGAAGTTTTATCTGAAATTTGGTATGAGTAAACTAGACTTAATGAATAAGATTCTCAAAAAAATTCATCAAAAAATTCCACCGGGAACTGCCTCAAATGGCGACAGCCGGACAGTAAGGACTTATTTGACCCTTTTTATGCAACTTCGAGTACCAATCCGACCCTTACCTCGAAAAGATATACTTGTTAAGATTAGAAAATTCTTATACTCCTTCCGTTCTTTTTTAGATGCAATATTGTACTTTTTTCATTATTCACATGTTCTATTTTGACTCTACTTTATTTATTGATGTATTATAAATTAATTTTTTTAAAAAAAATATTGTTAAATTTCTCTCATTTTAAAGTTTCAAAATCAATTTTTTTTATTTTTTTACTAATAAGGTATGAAAAATATTAATGGTCAAACTTGTGTGTTGGCAAACGTGAAATGTGGACCGTTGCATTTAAAAAAGAACGGAGAAAGTATTCAATATCAAGAACAAATATAAAATTGGAGGAGCAAACTCTCATACTTAACTATTACAAAAAAACTAATTCTCACTAAAACACTCATGCTTTACGTGTTTTCACTCTTCACATATTTTTCTCACCTTAGAAACTGATGATTATGAACAACAATAGACTCCCTATTTATAGATGTAAGGGAGACATGAGGTAGTTGCATCCAAGCTTCCTAGTTATCTTCATATCTTTTTATCATGTTCATTTGTTGGATAGCTCCTTCCTAGATGGTGTTATATGTCTTTTGGCAACTTCCAAGAAAGAATGTGTAAGATCCCTACAAATCCCCCTCCGCCTTTTTATTTAATTCTCTCATCATGCGATGCTCGCTGGCCCCCCCTCGCTGGCAACAAGTATCCATTCAGATGCGGAGAATCTTCTCTGTGGAACTATGTCTCGCATAGAACGTTGAACATGAGTACCTTCAGCTTCATCTTCAGATGAAGGCTTCCCCTGCTGAGAAATATCATCATTGTGAGCATCATCATCAGCTACTAAACCACCACTCTTTTGTTCATTAGTATCATGCATCTCCTCGTCGCTGAGAGGAATGTTTGATGATAGAGGGACTTCGTCTTTGCTTTGTATAACTTTCTTCACTTCGGGATTCCACAATCGGTATCTAAAATCTTCATCTCCATAGTCGATGAAGATGCATGGGTTTGACTTGAGATCAAGCTTCTCTCTCAACTCCTTGGACACATGTGCAAATGTCTTGCACCAGAACACTTTCAAATGAGAGTAAGAAACATCTCTTCTTGACCATTTCTTCTCTGACACGTCAAAGTTTAAAGGAACAGAAGGTGACCTGTTGATAAGATAACAAGTTGTCAGCACAGCTTCACCTCAGAATGGCTTGGGTGGTTTAGTCATGCTCAACATGCAACGAACTTTCTCCACAATGGTTCAATTCATTCTTTCGGCTACACCATTTTGTTGTGGAGTTCGTGGAACCGTCTTCTCATGTCTGATTCCGTATGCGGCACAATATGCAGAGAATTCCCGGGAAGTATACTCTCATCCATTGTCTGAACCTAGACACTTCAACTTCTTCCATGTTTCCCTTTCTACCATGGCATGAAATAATTTGGAACTATCAAACACTTGATCCTTACTTTCTAAAGAGTAAGCATGTACCTTTCGTGATGCATCATCAATAAATGTCACAAAATATCTGCTTCCTCCAAGTGACTCCTCTTCAATGGGTCCACATACATCTGAGTGGACAAGACTGAGTAACTCTGAATGATTTTTCCTGGTAGAACTGAAGGAAACTCTGTGTTGTTTCCCTAATAAACAGTGCTCGCATGGATCTAATGGAAATGACTTCCTTCTTTGCAAGAGTTGTGAGTCCCTTCACACTCAAGTGGTCTAACCTCTGGTGCCACAAGTTTGGTGATGTCTATTTTTCAACAGAATTGAGACTTGGATGACACAACTTTACATGAATTTTATAAAGAGTACCAAAAGAGTGATCTAGGGCATCTTCAATGCTATTATTTCCATATTGTAAAATTTTGCCATATCATCTTTTTTAAAAGTGATCTATTTTTTATGCATTCTTTTATGGGCACTACTGGAAAAATAGCTATTTGTTGCGGTTATTTTTAGCTATTCAGTGCGATTTTGAACCGCAACAATTGGCAGGGCAGCAAATAGTAGGAAAACGTATTTGTTGCGATTCTGAACCGCAGCAAATAATTATTTAAAAAAAATGACTTATTGATGCGGTTCCGAACTGCATAAAATAGCTATTTAAAAAAAATGAATTGTGACTTATTGCCGCGGTTTTGAACCGCATCAAATACTTCTAAAAATTGGCATTTTTTTTTGTTTTGGACTACTATTAAAATTATAAAGCTAGTGTTTTAAACCAGAATATATCTATTTTACAGAATAAGAAAAAGTCATTTCTACAAACTCAGTATCTCATCAACAAAAATCAGAGACATAATCTCAAATTTATTGAATTATACATCGTCAATGTTCAAAATGAATACAACACAAATTAACATTCTTTTGTAAGTTTATCCCCACTAAAGTTTACGAAAAAATTATCACACTTATATGGCCAATTCCTCACAAACTTCAAATACTTCATCAATTCATCACTCAAAAAAGGCTCTTTTGTACTTTGATAGACCTGAAATATTAAACATTTTAAATAATAGTTAGAAAAAAAAACGATAACAATATGATATATTAAATATTTACCTGATACGTATATATAGCAGGCATGTGTCTGTACAGGGAGATTTTTTTTAGTTAAAATATGTGTACATACATAGGAGCACCCCCTCAAAAATGCTTCCTATTTGCCACTGCCTACTCTATCTCTACTTTTCTCTCTTATCTCATTAACTACCAATTAGAGATTATATTCTACCTACATCTTGATTAAGTGTGCAACCTACAATGAACTTCAAATTTGGACAAGAGTACCGAAGAACAAACCCTTCCATAAAATCTCTTTAAGCTTTAAGGTAATAAAAGAGAAACCAAGTTACCATTGAGCGCTGAGCAGAGAATATTGAGTTCATGATGGCCACATATTTGGCAGATATAAAAACATTTCAAGTATAAATGATAAAAGCAAGAATAGGGCTAGTGTTTACTAGTCAAAATACCATAGACACATACTGTGTTGGCCCATTTGGGGATCCATGGATGCATAGTACCTGCTGTCAATGAAGCTTGCAGTTCAGAAGCAATAAAAATTTAAGTAATTGACATATATAGGACTAAAACATGGTAACTGTGCAAGAATAGGACCTTATCTCTTTTTGTTCCCGAAATAGGACCTTTTTTAATTTTATTCCCTTCCTACCCCTGCTGCCACGTACAGTCCGCACCAATTTTTTCCTCCTCTCGCACCAATAAAATAGAAAATAGTATCCTAGATCTCAACCCAATAAACTATTCTGGCCTGTATTTGGCCAATAGAGATAAATTAATTTAGAATGTTCCCCTTTTCCCTTTGTTGGCAATAGAGATAAATTATTTGGTCACGTGAGCGTTTTATGGGTTGCATACTTGCATGTTCAGTTAGTTAAAGGGCCTTTTTGCTCTCTTTTTTGGTTTCTTGCTCAAAAATTAAGTTTATGGGTATATATCTCCCTGGGTGGCAACTTGAGGGGTGTTTTTGCCCCTTTTCCCAAGAAAAATCGAGAACATAACTAGGCAAAAACATATAAGTAAGATTTTCCGAGTCTAAATAAACTAGATTCAATCGGAAGACTAAATGCATGTAATAGGGCGGGGTAAAATGAAAGATTGCTTATTACTACCGCCAAGAGGGCATATAATTGTATAAATAAGAGATTAAAGAAACATTCACTCCATGTATGTCCAATATCATTTGGCTTCTTACAAGTACACGACAATGAGAATGACGTTTTCAAAACTGAGATGAGAACTAGAAATACAGGAGTCAACAACCGGGATGTGGATTTCCTGGAAATACTACTTCGTATTTAATTATCATGCAGAGCCTTCATCAAATAGAGTCTGTTAAAGCTCTGGCCCGCAACCCTGCAACATATATCAGGTAAAACGGTTAAATTGGCATGAAATCTTCTGACGATTTATATCCAACCCTGTTTTCATCTCAAGAGTCCATATGCAACCACATACTACGTGTATAGTGGAGAACCAACCAATGCAATTCGATTTAAGTTTTGTAATGTTTCTTCCGAGCCATATTAAAACAGAACCCAATTTAAAGATTCAATATATTTTTCTAATGTTTAGATATATTTAAAAAGCAAATCAATATTTAATTATAAGTTTTGCTTTAATATATTTTTAGATATAGCAAATCTAAAAAGGCTAAAGGGTCAAATAAGTACATGAACTAACTTAAAGTGTTCAATTAGCCCCTTATATAGGAGGTTCTGCCCGGCCGTCGCCAATTGGGGCGGTTCCCGGTGGAATTTTTTGATGAAAATTTTTGAACATCTTCTTCATTAAGTCTAATTTACCCATACCAAATTTCAGTTAAAAATTCAACCGGGAAGGCAGTCAAATGATTTTTTGAAGATAACTGTGCAGTTAAACAACGCAGTACATTTTGGAAAATCATTTGACTACCTTCCCGATTTAATTTTTAGCTAAAATTTGATAGGAGTAAACTAGAATTAATGAAGAAGAAGCTCAAAACATTTCATCAAAAAATTCAACCGGGAACCGCCCCAATTGGCGACGGCCGGGCAGAACTTCCTATATAAGGGGCTAATTGAACACTTTTAGTTCATGTACCTATTTGACCCTTTAGCCAATCTAAAAAGCTATTACTAAATTACACCCAATGACTTCAGCTTTTCTTAATCTGAAAATTCCAAGTGTCCCCGCGTTTTAATGCACACGTAGTTCAAATCAATGGTCTTAGTTAATGGTCAGAGCACTGGTAATCAGCAAATGTACAAGCACTTTGAAAAGCACAGGCAGACTTACAGGCAATTGGATGTCCATTTCAGATAAAGATAAATGCAGATTGTTCTCAGAAAGGAAACATACCCATTAATTTGATTGCAATAGTTTGAAATCTGATTAGTGATGAGAAAGCTATCTAATCGAGAAGGCTCGGGAATTGGCTTAAAGAAGGGATTAGAAGGATCCTCCTCAGGTAGTGGTTCTTCTCCAGCAGCTTTACGTGCCATGTTCTCCGCCCTGAAAACAACATACCAGAATACTATGATAAAAACACAAAGTGACGCGCATTCATAAAAAATCTATTAAAAGGCCAGGTTTTGATACTCCACCTCTCCATAAAAAAATGAGGCATTGAATGCTGTCTATATTAGCTAACACTAACTGAACAGACACACATATTAAAAGAAAGATATATACATAAACAGTTATATACTTGCATTTAAACACACACGCTTATACATACATGCATGCATATAGATACTCTCCAGAAAATTAGAGATAAAAAAGGGCTATTTGATATCCACAGATATATATGTGCTTCAAACTTACCATCCAAAAGCTTATATAGCTATGCTGATAAAAACACTAACTAAAATAGCCATACTTCATAAGTAGTTTGAAAAAGAAAACAAAATACCTCCTCTTTTGAAGCCAAGCTTGCTGCTGAGATTGTTGGCGTGAAAGGTTCCTATAGTAGTTATGGAACTGCAAATGTAAAATCAATCTTGTCAGGTGATGGCTGAGCAACACAGTAGTCCCAAGTGGGTGTGTCCCAAAAAATAGTGACTTACCTCCTGCTGCTGCTTTGACAAGTCATCCATACATTCAATCATAAATTCCACATTTCTCTCCAGATATGGATTAGTTGACAAATTTAGGCGATCATAATCACTCTGGAACAAGTTACAAAGTTGCATGTGACCATTTGCTACGATAGGTAAGGCCAGTGAGAACTGGGCATGAAAAATGTTTAGTTTACCTGGGTAACAGGTGTATCTGGCTCCAATTCGGTCATGAAGGCACTTATGAGGGCAGAATTTGAAACTTTTATCTGTTGCATTAGAAAGATTTTTCAGTATCAAAACAGGTACATGTTATGCTAAGTATAGCGCATTAGTATATCTGAACTAATACAAATGTTCAGTACATAAAAGTAAGAATGGTAAAAATAGAGTAACAAGGCAAAGACATTTCTTGAAGTAGACTTGAATTACCATGCACCAAACTGTACTGAATGAGATAGCAAAATCCATTTGATACAAAAAAGATGGAAAAAATACAAATACAAAAGAATATTATAGGATGAGGTATTTTCTCAAAAAGGAATATCTACAATTTGGATATATAACAACATTTTAAAGTAAAGAGTACTTTTAGTCAATGATAAAACAGGCGATGACTAATGAATAACTACAAGAAAAGATCGGATTAGAATAATGCTTTCAACAAAAAATAAGGGGAAAAACAACTAGAGGTGTAAAAGGAAAGGCATACAGGTATCTCCTCGAAGATATCTATCCACGAAAGATTCGTCTCTCTCAACCTAAAACGAAAACAATAAACGAGAAATGCTGTAAGCTAACACATAACATCATCAATTGGCTCAACCAAAATGCACGAAGGGTGAAGGATAAAACAAAAGATAGCATGCGGGACATACTTCTCCCCAGTGAAATTATTATTCCGGTACAGCTCCATGAATGAGTCAGAAAGCTTCAAAGCCTTCAGAGCCAGAACACCTTGGTTGGATCTCGATGGATCATATATAATGCATACACACCGTCTTATATTTTCCTGCACAAACAACAAGCAGATTAATTTCAACTATCTCGATACACCCTGAAAAGGGGAACGAAAGAAACCATAACCCTTAAAACTACAATTGGGAGAATTAAAACCTGGTAGTTCATGAAGGTCTCAATAAGTTCAACTGTCTGATATGAACCAAATAAAGTCGATTGGTACCTAGAAGAAATATATACACATCATAATAGCATTATTCATAAATTACTTGTTGGAGTAAAGCATGTCTAGAAGTAGAGGTATACACATTTGGAAAGTTTAGCAGAATAAAGTTGATTGGTACCACTAAAGTGACTAAACTTCATTGGAACAATGCCCTTACCATCCAACAGTGTTGTTGTCAACATTAACCTCTCTCAGGCATCTCATCATTTCAAGTTGATAATTAGCACCCTCAGCCTCTATCTCTTCATCTTCCTCCCGAATCTATCATTCATTTGAATTTGAATGCTAAGGCATATGTTGACTTTGTAAAAAACAGCTGTTATGGTATTGTACAAAAAACAGGACAAAGCCATAAAACACACCGGGAAGGGGAAACAGTTGGTAACTTCCAAGACGCTTCCCACGTCCAACCCAAGAAGTTGTCCAGTGACTAAAGCTGGTGAAAATTCCTTGCAATGCTTAATTATCTTCAAAATTACCTGTTCTCAAGTAATCATTCCAGCTGAAAGTTATAGGCTGGATAGCATTGGACATAGATAACTAGTATACCATAAGAAGCTATTTATTTAGGGGAACGGGTTTCCCAATTATTCTTAGTTACAGAAATGGTCCCAAAGTGAGAATTTGAAGTTTAAGAGTTTACCGCACGCCTCTAAGTTTCCGAAACGGGGACACATGAGCCGTGGAGAGTTTCCATGCCTCAAAGCCCCAAACTTTTTGGACTAAGGCTTGGATGTTGTGGTTGTTGTTAAGACAATCATCAACTTATGGCTAAGATGAATAAGTAAACAGCACTAAACAACTATCTATTGTTCCAGCTTCCATATAATCAACTCTAATTTGGTCCACCCAAAGAATAACCAAGACAATTTCTTAACATGCTCTATAAATCGATCCACAGATCACAAAATAGAGAGAAAGAAACTACGTCTCAAACCCGTTTTAGATTAATGCGTTTTGCGACATCTAACTTTCGAATAATGCAGAATCAAACGGTAGCATGTGTGCGTGCGTTTCAACCACGAAAGGAAGAGAGAAAGGATTATCACCAGTCCCTCAATCTGAACGACTCTGAGAGGTGGCACGGCAGCCTCTTCCGTAGCCGCAACCTGTAAAAACGACCGTCCCGGTGCTGCACCAAAACAGCTCCGTTAGTCGCCTCCACAAAGCAGTGCACGTACAATAATACACAGCCGTGGATAAAAACGAGATGTACATACCGTTCGCCATGAATGCAAGGGAGGCAGAGAGGGGATTGAGTGGAGGAGGCTTTCTCTGCGCGGGGATCAAAGGTGAAGAAGCCCTAGAGGTCGAAGAGGCGTCTAAGCTCTGTAAACAGTAAACGGTGTACTGTTGAAGACAGCCAACTTTTTAAAGTTGCGCATTTAGGCCGGCCCATTTGGTAAAAATTGAAAATAATAATTACAATTATTAAAGGTTCATTATTAATAATCTCAATTATTGATTATTTTTGGGTTGTCCCAACACCATTTTCCAAAAATGGTTTCTAACGTGTTACAACCTAGTATAATAGATCATTTTTAAATGTAAACTATGTGTAACCTTTAAATAATCTCAATTATAGTAGACCTTTTTTTATTAATCCCAACTATCCACTCTTAATTTTTATAAATTTCCAAAGTAAATAGTTTTAAACATGTATAAACAATTACAACAACTATAAAAATGTACCGAAATTAAATAAAATATCTTTAGTCATTTTTTGATTTATTTCCACTAATTGTTTTTTCCTTTTATCTAGTTTTTCCTGGTTGTATTACCAATTTATGATTTTGTATTATTTTCCTTTATTAAAAATTACATTTTCTATTTTCAAAAAGTAAATAACGATTAAGATGTTATTTATTTTACGTTATCTTAATTCAGAAAACCTAAATGTTCTATTTTTCCATTTTAGTATTTCTAGTTTCCTTCTATTTTCTTTATTTTATATTATTATATTCTATAAATTATATTATATAGTTTGTCATTAAATTTCAGAGATTTGGGGTACAGGTTTTGGAGATTTTCACTATATTTAATGAAAATGTATTAATATTATAATTTTAAGTGATATAATGGAAATTTTAAACATGTAGAAAAAGTGTATCAAAACGGTAATAATAATCCCAACTATTTTGGTAGGTAGCAAAAATGTGGACTTTTAGTAAACAATTTTTTATCGTCATTTCAAGATATTCACATTTTTACACTGGTAGAAATTAAAAATACTAAAACGGAATAAATAAAAAGATTAGATTTTTAGATTAAACTAGAATAATTATCTGAATTGCAAAAAATTAAATCACAGTTTACTTTTTGAAAATAGAAAATGTAAATTTGAATAAAGGAAAATAATACTAAATCGTAAATTGGTAACATTACTGTGAAAAACAAATTGGAAAAGGGAAAAATGAAATTTTAGTGAAAATAAAAAAATAATGACTAAATTTTTTATTTAATTTCTGTACATTTGTAGAATATTTGTAATTAATTTTCATGCTTAAAGATATTTAGTTTGAAAATTTATAAAAATATTTCTATATCTTCTGAAAATTAAAAATTGATAGTTGGGATTATAAAAAAAGATCAACTATAGTTCAGATCATTTAGAGCTTACACGTAGTTCACATTTAAAAATGACATGTTATACCAGGTTGTAACATGTTAGAGACCATTTTTGTAAAACGGTTCCTATAGTTGGGATTACCCAGAAATAATCAATAATTGAGATTATTAATGATGGATCAGCAATAGCTGAGATTATCATTTTCAATTTTTTCTAAATAGAATTATAATTAAAAATAGAACTAAACAATACGGAGTACATAATTACATAAACACCCTTTATTGCAAGGTCATCGCGATTCCTAAAAATTTAGGTCTTGATCGGACAATTGGGATTTGGTAAATCCTGAACGCTAATCTCTAAGGCCATTTGTAAACGCTAATCTCTAAGGCCATTTGTAGTGGAGGGGTTTTAGGAGTCAAAAAAGTTAAAAATGGAACTTTTGGACTCCTAAATGTGTATAGTGGAGGATTAAGAGAAGTATTAAAAGTGGGTAAGGGGGTCAAGAATGTTATTAATTGAGGGTAGATTGACTTCTAAATGATGGCATCGTCCGTGCGTCATTAAACCTCAAATTTCTTAAAACTCATATAATTTTTTTATTTGTATTTCAAATTTTTGAAAAATATATCAAAATTCATGAATTTTCATGATCTTTCATATGACACCAATATGTAATATATAAAATGAATTTTTTTTAAGTTTTAACTGTTGAAGTTTTCTTGAACCCAAGAAAACACTAAACACCAATTTTTAATTCATGGAGGCCTTCACAAATAACTGAATATTTCACAATTGAATTTTACGTGAACTGAGTTCATTTTTTGTTCACCTAAAAACGTTAAAAAATTTATGAAATTTATTTATTTTTACATCAAAATTTGTATTTTTTTAATTGATAATTATTTAGGAAAAAAGGTAAACATTACTTATAATAGTCTAAATAAATTTTTTACTAGATTGATATGTAAAAAAAATATGTTGAGTATATTTTATTGACAGTACCGAAATGCAAGAAAGTAAGAGTCTAAACATTGTTTTCATATGGATGGAGTCCATTTTTAACAATTTAGCCTCTCCACCACTACAAATGGTCTAAGTAAAATTTGATAAACTCTAAACCCTAATGCTAAAGCTATTACAGTTGATACAACTATTTTGTTCGATACATTTCAGATAGTTCTGACGAGAAGCCCCATCCAAACTTGCCTATAAAAAAAAATTACGGTGAAATTTTTTATGGAATTTTGTGAGCAAGTTTTTCATCAAGTCTAATTTATTCTCACTAAATTTCAGCTTAAAGTTCAATCCGAAAACCAGTTAAATAAATAAATAAATTACTAAAAGCGTAAATTTTAAGCTGAATTTTGATGGTCTTAAACTAGCTTGATGAGATATTATTTCTGATAGGCAAGTTCGAATGGGGCTTCCCGTCAGAACTACATGAGGTGTTCGTTTCTTATAAATCTTACATACTTTATAAGAAATCGTGTCCTTAGAAGCAAGCAAGTCAAGTTTTAATCCAACGAACAATTTCCTTTATGAGATATTCCATCATCGTGTGTGACAAAAATTAGTTTTTGAATTTGACGCATGTGAGCTTGATATATCCTTAAAAAAACTATTTTCTTTTTTTTTGAGGAAAAAACAGAAACTTATTGATAGAAAACTTCAGGATTACAATCGGAGTTTAGGAAACAAGAAATCTGAGGTGGAGCCTCTAGGAGCAAAAGCCCCCCATCAGGATAATTCTTAGCTAATTGAGCTAAATGGTGTGCAGCCTGGTTTCCCTCCCTCCTTACTGAGCTAAATCGAACCTCTGGGAAAGACAAGGCAAGCTCTTTCACCTCTTGAATCAGCATCCCAAACCTGGAAACATCTTCAAAAGTATTTGAGAGACTGGATGAAAGACCTGCACAATCAACTTCGACAATCAAGGGCATATCAATCCAAATTTTGGCAGTCCGTACTCCTTCGGCACAAGCTAATATTTCAGCTTCCATAGCTGCAGCACATTTGGGAAGCCTTCTCCAGACAGATAACAAAACTTCGCCTCTGCAATTACGGATGATGCAGCCCGCCGTAGCTTCTCCAGTTGCCGGATTGAAACTTGCATCTGAGTTTAGCTTCTGCCAGCCGACTGGCGGGGGATTCCAAAGGGGATATGTATGGGCTGGAGCGGATCGATCCTTCACAGTAGCACTCCCGCCTTTGCCCGAGATGTTCTCCAGCTGCTGGCTGCCAAAAGCCTCCAGATAGCTGCATAAGAACCTGGCACTAGCTCCAACCGAAGCCATTCCTTTACCATGAATTACGTCATTTCGTAAATGCCAAGCTCGCCAGAACATCATCAAAATACGAGCTTGCATCACTTTATCAACCCCAATTAAGAGATTAAGGAACCATTCCGGCCCCGTTCTCTTGAAATGCTTATCCGTGGGTAGCTGCCAGTAGGCCCTTAAATTATCCCGAAGGGCCTTAGCTTTTGTACATTCCACAACAGCGTGAAATCCATCTTCATTGGTGCGTCCACAGATTGAACATATAGCCATCGGTATGAGCTTCCTCTGAAGTCGGTTTGACTGTGTTGCAAGAGCTTCGCGTGCAAGCCGCCAGCCAAATATACGTACCTTTTGGGGCACTTTAATACCCCACAGGACATTCCAAATGCTTCGTTCCCCATTTCCAGCCCCGCTACTTTCTCCCGTGCTCTGGCGTTGAAGCCGATCTGAAATAGCAAGACGGTAGGCGCTCTTGACAGTAAACATACCCAACTTGTCGTAGTGCCATGCCAAGAAGTCGGCTCGCATGTTTACTGGCAGCTTTATCTTTAGAATTTCCTCCGCATCCCCTGGCCAGAATTTGTCCCGGATGAGATTTTCATTCCAGACCCCCGCACCCGGGACAATGAGATCACTCACCTTCCTGCACCTTGTGAATCTTCTTCTTCCACAGATTTTAAGGGCGTTATCCCTGGGAATCCAGTTATCACGCCAAATGTCCACAGAAACTCCTGAGCCAACCCGCCATATAATCCCCCTTTTTAGGAGTTCAAGACCATGTACAATACCTTGCCAAGACGGGGATCCTCCAACTAAAAAAGAGGTGTCATATAACTGGCCTTTCGGGAAATACTTCGCCTTTAACACCCGAGCACAAAGGCTCTGAGGAAACTGCAGCAGCCTCCAGGCTTGCTTAGCTAACAAAGCTTGGTTGAAAGCTTTAAGATCACGAAAACCCATTCCCCCGTAGGCTTTAGGCACCGACAGTTTATCCCAGGCAATCCAATGAATCTTCCTATCATTTAGTTCATCTCCCCACCAGAAATTACGAATTAGATGCATCAGGTCATCACATAGGCCCGCCGAGAGTTTAAAAATTCCCATCGAGTAAGTGGGAATCGCCTGCATTACTGATTTGATCAGGACCTCTTTACCCCCTGTGGATAGAAATTTTTCCGACCAGCCATTCAACCTCTTGTTAAACTTATCTTTAAGGGTTTGGAACCGTTCACTCTTCATTCTTCCGTTTGGCATAGGTAGCCCCAAGTATTTCTCCTCAAAACCCGCCTTTTCCACTCCTAAAATGCTCTTCACCACTTCTTGATTCCCTGTACTGCAAGATCTCCCAAACAAAATAGAACATTTATTTAAACTCAAAAGCTGGCCCGTACTCCGCTCATACATTGTCAGGGCCTTCTTTCACCACCGAGGCTTGGACACGGTTAGCCCTAAAAAGTAGTAGACTGTCATCTGCGAAGAGTAAATGTGACAAGCCCGGAGCTCCCCGGCAGATTGACAT